TTACATTTCCACTAACAATGTGCAAGAGTTACATTTGCTCCAGATCTTTGCCAGCACTTGGTATTGTCAGTCCTTTTAATCTTGGCTCTTCTAATGGCATGTGGTGCTGCCTCACTATGTTTTTCATTTGGATTTTCCTGTTGGCTAATGATGGTGAGCATATTTTCATATGCTCATATCACCACTTTTATATCTCATCTTATGAAGGTCTAAGTCCCTTGCTCGTTTTTTTTTTATTAGGTTGGTTGATCTCTTGTTTTGATCTATAAGAACTCTTTCTTTACTCTAGATGTAAGATCTTTACCATGTATGTGTTATATGTGTATAGGTATGTGTTATCATGTATGTGTTCTGTATGTGTTATATTTGTATATTTATATGTATTGTCTGCATTACCACATATATAGTGAATATTTCTTTGCAGTCTGTGGCTTGCTGCCTTAGGATCCCCAGGGCCACCCTCAGGCTTGATGTTTCACTAGAAGGGCTCTAATAGGACGCAGAAGTTATTGTCTCATGCTTGGTGCCTATTACACCAAGAGAATACAGAGTAAAATCAGCACAAGGAAAAGGTGCATGGGGCAAAGTCTGAAGGAAACCACGCACAACCTTCCATGCATCCCCCACCAGTGGAGTGGCAAGGGATGTCCCTAATTCCCTCAGCAGTGAAGCGTGACAACATGCGTGAAGTGTCACCAACCATGGAAACTTAGCCAAGTCTAGGTGTCCAGTGTCTGTATTGGAGGTCAGCCACGTAGACATACTGCATGACTGACCTGTCACTAAAGCTCCGGCCTCCCAGATGGGAAGTAGGTGTCCACCATGAATCACACTGTGAGTGTAAGCTATCTAGACAATCTGGCAAGGCCAGGGTGCCTGAAGGCCTCAGGCTTGCAAAAACACTTTTCTTACCCAACAGACCATTTTAGGAGCTCAGTTCCCAGGAGCTATTCAAGGGCCAGTTCTGAAAACATGCCTTCCATGGGAATATGCAGGGTGTGAGCAAACCAGGCCCATAGAGTTAACCCTTTCCTACATGCCCCCCTTTTTATTTTCTTAAGGATGTCTTTTATAGAGCAGACATTTTTTAAATTTTGGTGAAGTCCATTTTATCAACTTTTATAGCTAGTGATCTTTGTGTCCTACTTAAGAATTCTTTGCCTACCACAAGGTCACAATGATCTCCTCCTATATTTTCTTCTAGAAATTTTATAGTTTTAGCTCTTCTGTTTATAGCTACAATATAATTAAAATTAATTTTTTTGTATTTAGTAGAGGTCAAGGGTAATTTTTTCTTCTGACAGTTGTATCAGGAAGTATCCAACCAGGAGACAGAAACTGCACAGTAGTATAAACAGGGAAAGTATAGTATAAAAAATTTTAAGTATAACATGGGATTGGAGTATTAAGGTTAATAAGAAATAAGAAGACTGTCACATCCTATGACCTTGCTTAGTTTATTTATTCAGTTTTAAAGTTGTATTGTGGATTCCTTAGGCTTTTCTATGGAGAAAATCACATTGTCTGCAAATACAGTTTTACTTCTTCCCATCTAGTATTTATGCATTTTATTTTTTCTTTTCTGTTTTATTTCACTGACTAGGACCTCAAGTACAATGTAAAATAGAAATGGTGAGAAGAGACGTCCTTGCCTAGTTCCTAGTTACCCTATCAGGGTAAAAACATTGATTATTTATTTAAACATTATTTATTATGATATGAGTTATAGGTGCTTTTTGTAGATGCCCTTTATCAACTGAGTAACTTCATTACTGGTTTGCTGAGCATTTTCATCATGAACTAGTGTTGAATTTTATCTAATGATTTTCTGCATCTGATAGTACAATTTTTCTCCTTCATTCTCTTAATACAATCTTAATGTGATTAATGACATAAATGTTCTAATGTTAAACCAACATTTTGTTTCTGGGGTAAACTCCACTGAGAGATGTACACACACATACACCCACACATACACTCTTATGCATATATATACACCTACTAGTGATTTGCTAATATGTGGTGAGAATTTTTGTATCTATGTTCCTGATATTGGTGTTTAATTGTCTTGTAATGATTTATCAGGTTTGGGTATCAAGGTTATGTTGGCCTCATAAAGTGAGTTAGGCAGCATTCCCTTCTTTTCGATTTTCTGACAGAGTGTATGTATTTTGCCCTTAAGGGTTTGATAGCATTCATTCATCATTGAAAATCGTTTGGGCCTTGAATTTTCTTTATGGGAGGAGAAGGTCCTAGAGGGAAGTGGTCTACACTATAAATGCCTCGTAGAGATCAGAAAAGGTAAGAAACCCAAGGAAAAAGCCCTGTTGTTTCTTCACAATACAGAGCCACAGGTGCACAAGTGGTCGTGTCCTTTGTGCCCCTGTTGGGGTGCTGGGGGAGAGGTGAGCGATCCTCTCTGGACAGATTTGAGCCCCACAGGAGCAGGCACTCATGTGTCCTCTCTCTCTCTCTCTCTCTCTCTCTCTCTCTCTCTCTCTCTCTCTGCAGCTCTTCCTGGAGCCAAGGCACAGGTGACGCTGAGGACTTTGCTTTCTGTGCAAGTCAAGGAGGTGTCTATTCTTTCATGAATTGACTTCTCTGACCTTTGCATGTATATTTATTGGGGTCATAATGTTTATTTAAAACCTACTTCGGCAAGGATGTGGAAAAAGGGGAATATTTTTGCACTGCTGGTGGGAATGCAAACTGGTGCGGCCACTCTGGAAAACAGTATGGGGCTTCCTCAAAAAATTAAAAATAGAACTACCCTACGACCCAGCAATTGCACTACTAGGTATTTATCCAAAGGATATAGGAGTGTTGTTTCAAAGGGGCACATGCACCCCAATATTTATAGAAGTGCTATCAACAATAACCGAAGTATGGAAAGAGTCCAAATGTCCATCAACTGACAAATGGATAAAGATGTGGTACATATATACAATGAAATATTACTCAGCGATCAAAAAGAACAAAACGTTGCCATTTGCAACAATGTGAATGGAACTAGTATATTATGCTAAGTTAAATAAGTCAGGAGAGAAAGATAAATATCATTTTTTCACTAATATGTGGAATTTACAAAACAAAACAAATGGGCAGAGGGGAAGGGAAGGAAAAAATAAGATAAAAAGAGGGAAGCAAACCATAAGAGACTCTTAATTACAGAGAACAAACAGAGTTGCTGGAGGGGAGGTGGGTGGGGAGGGATTCTTGGTAGCCATTATTAATATTCTCCAGATGAGCCTATAGTCAAATATTTGGAAAAATATATGTTCAACAAAATATTTTTCATTATATTACCCAATTACTGAAAGTTTCTGTTCTTTCATTCCATTTTTTCTTAAGGAAAAATCAACACATAAATATACAATGTCAGTCTCCCTCTGTGATCTTTCCTGAAGACTTTATTCTTCAAGTATATGGTTAAGGGAGTAACCTCTACCTTTAAAAGTGCCTTTCTATTTCAGATACTGAACTTCTGAAAGGAATTATCATGAACATGAAACCTAGATGAGAGAAGCTCTTACTCAATAAGATCTGGGTAAATTAATTCCCGAACAGATCTGCATTTTCTCATCATATTTGTCTTACATATTCAACCAGAAACAAAGAATCAATTTACAGCCAAACCAAGTGTCTGTGTCTCCATTTAAAACTTTAAATGGATTTATTAACTTTCAAAGCCTCCTGCCCACATGGGTAAGGATTTCATTTGAAGAACAGGTGGTTTTTTATAACATTTATGTTGTATACTCATCCTTTCTTGACTCATTCCTATTAACTAAAATGATATAGAACTTTAATAGGTAACTTGTTACTTTTGAAAAATCAGGTTGCAGGGGCGCCTGGGTGGCGCAGTCGGTTAAGCGTCCGACTTCAGCCAGGTCACGATCTCGCGGTCCGGGAGTTCGAGCCCCGCGTCGGGCTCTGGGCTGATGGCTCAGAGCCTGGAGCCTGTTTCCGATTCTGTGTCTCCCTCTCTCTCTGCCCCTCCCCTGTTCATGCTCTGTCTCTCTCTCTGTCCCAAAAATAAATA